TTTTTTTTTTTGTGCGCACAGTTTTAGACGACCAAACAGTTTATGAACTAAATCATTTTGCGAGGATGTTTATATGTTGAATCACAACCATTCATCTTTTGCACAGATATCATGCAGAGATTAGGATATGCAACCATCATGTCATCTGTTAGGTCGTGTACTTTAGATCATCCATTCGAAAAACAGAAGAAAAAAAATCCTGAATTTATTAATTTTGGTCAACTCTTTATCCTCCCACGAATTGGATTAGTGGTATTTCACATGAAAATGGCAGTGGGTGCAAAGCTGTGGGAGATCACCACCGAGCTGACTGTTCCTTTGCCGCTTGGTCTGAAACACCAAAAAGCTAATTAAGCTGTTGACTCCTCTCTAGTGACCCCCCCGCAAATTATATGTAGTCTTTTAGTTGATATCTTCACTTTGCCTCAACATCAATGCATGTCCTCATCAAAACGGTATCTAATTTTTCAATATCGTCCATCATTAATTACTTGATGTTTAGAACACCACTTCTGAAGATTTTGCCTTGGATTCGAATTCCAACGGTGGAGAGAAACTTGCATATCCCGTATTTTATGTGACGAGAAAGAAAGGGAGACAATGATATACAATATGGAATAAACAAGTTATTGCGCTATTGGTGGCCCCAATAAAGTTGACCCAGCAAAAATAAATAAATAACTATTAAAAAGAAGCAATATATACTTTAAAGAATGTTTGAACTCTACTTGTCTAGAAGTTGGAATAATAATATATTTGATTTTATTACCCTAACATGACGTAATAAGCTAGCTGATAGCTGAATCTTGCACATAGAAAGCAGCTGCATCACCACCGAGCTGACTGTTCCTTTGCCGCTTGGTCTGAAACACCAAAAAGCTAATTAAGCTGTTGACTCCTCTCTAGTGACCCCCCCGCAAATTATATGTAGTCTTTTAGTTGATATCTTCACTTTGCCTCAACATCAATGCATGTCCTCATCAAAACGGTATCTAATTTTTCAATATCGTCCATCATTAATTACTTGATGTCTAGAACACCACTTCTGAAGATTTTGCCTTGGATTCGAATTCCAACGGTGGAGAGAAACTTGCATATCCCTTATTTTATGTGACGAGAAAGAAAGGGAGACAATGATATACAATATGGAATAAACAAGTTATTGCGCTATTTGTGGCCCCAATAAAGTTGACCCAGCAAAAATAAATAAATAACTATTAAAAAGAAGCAATATATACTTTAAAGACGTGGTATGTTTGAACTCTACTTGTCTAGAAGTTGGAATAATAATATATTTGATTTTATTACCCTAACATGACGTAATAAGCTAGCTGATACCTGAATCTTGCACAAAGAAAGCAGCTGCAAGAGAAGGAACTGAAGACCACCAAGAATAACCCTATTAGTGACTGATCATCTTCATAGCTAGAGAAAGCATCAGCCAAAAGGGTTTTCTGCATACTAGACATAACAAAGGAAAACATCATCCATGAAAACAGTGGCTGTGTTTGAAGATGGACATAAAACCAGTACAACTTTTGTCGTATATACGTTGATTGGTAGGCAGTTTCCATATGTACGGTTTTGTTTTGCAAATGCCAATTTTGTACAGACAAAATAAAATACCTTCAGCACATGCCCACGGCAAATGAAGATTTAGGAGATTTAAAAGAGTAATTTTGCTTGAGAGCACTGTGTATCACCAATTGCTTTTCAACTTCTGTCTTTCTAAATGATACCAAATGATGATGTTTTTGTTTTTGTTGGGTAAAATTAAAGTGGCTGTCATCCATCTTGAATCTGGACACATTCTTGGACAATATACGTAGATTTGCTACAGAAACTTTTCTCCACAGATTTCCACCCCTATTAGTTGAACCCTAACCTAATTTGCTTTTATAGTTGCCACTTTTGATCTTTAATATATAAGCAAGTTTGTCAGTTTTACAACCCGACAAATCTTTGGAAAGGGTAGATTGACAAATATTCCACTATCTATAACAATATTACATGTTATGTTGGTAGTGTCGATTTGAGCTACATGCACTCAAGGGCGGCCTGGCATGGTGCAGTGGTAAAAGCAACCAACATCTATTGCCTAGTTTATGACACCTCTGCACAACACTAATTTTTTTTTACTAAAACAGTGTGTTTTTCAGACATAATCATTGTTGTGCGATGAGCTTAATCAAGGATGTTGGTGAAACTATATGTTAAGAGTTCGTAGGGCAAATATAAATCAAAACATATCACCCAATTGGCTTTCCCCGTCGGTAGGTATCAGGCGGCCTATCCGGCAACCGATCGGGCTGCTGTTCTCTTATATTGTTGTCACTATAACTTATAGTCAATAAGTGTATATGTCTGCCCGTCTACTTAGTGTTGTATATAGCTAGCTAGCTGTTGTTGCTATGAAAGTGTTCGTGAACTTCTCACGTATGTTTTGATCTAGAGTTGTGTGAAACTCATTCATGAACTTCTCACGTAAGTGGCGTGAAACTCATTATTGGACCCGAGACATTTTCGCATGATGGAAAGAACTATTTTTGGTTGGCTTGGCTGTCTCTTTAATTATTAGGAATATTCAACCAAACTATCTCTCTCATTCGGATAAAAATAAAGTGTCTAGATTCATTGCATCTAATTCCCTTCTTGTGGTAACATAAATGAATCTCATCTCACGAATCACTTTAAGCATTCGTAGTTTATTATTAGGTTATCTCGTGTTCCCCATTCAGCCAAAGTAGCACTTGTAAAATGCCACCACTAATTGCACTTAAAGTGGCTGGAAGCAAGCATCGCCTCTATGATACTTTTTCTTGATTCCAATTCTAGTTAATATTTTCTTTTTATACAAGCGATAATTTAAATTACTCTAAATTAATCTAATATGCGGGAAGGGGGATCGAGAGGGGTGGACTCTAGCCACTATTGGTAATTAATTTGGGAGGTTTTGGATGCTCAAATATTTAGACGTTCATATTTTAAGACGTATATGGAATATTTATTCCATAAGAAAGTTCACTCTATCAATTTGAAAAGGGAACGGATCTTTTGGTATCATTGGACTATTTTACTTGTTTATCACTTTAAAGTTTCAACTTTCCACTCCTGTTTAAAACTCTAATCCTACTATAAAAAAAAATTACTTAAGGCTGGTAAGTACGTAACCTAATAAAACAGTAACTAATCGTTTGAATTCTCCTCTCACGATATGGTTTTTGTTATGCGAACCGTTCATTTTTTAGGTTACTTGTCAAATAATCAGCTTTATAAACCGAAAATGATTTAGTCATGTGATAAAATTAATAATAATTCTTCACATATGTGGAGTCCATGTAGTACTTAATTATCACAAGAATTCATTGTTAACTTCATCACTATCTCCCTCTTGTCCTACCATATCAAATCATGTATGTACACTCCATAACAAGGAATGTATGTTCTTCCACGGAAGTGGGTTGTAGTGATTGAATCAGAAACGCAAATGCATTGAGGGTCTACAAACAAATTATGGGTTAAAACCCATCCAACTACACTACCATTTTCTTCGTCTTGCAAACCCCACAAAGGAGTGTTAGCATCAGTCACGGAACCCTCTCAACCGTTGATAATTATGGATCCCTCTACGCGGAACCAACGGTAGCATTCTTCCTAAGAATTAATTGGTACGTAAGCTGCACTACTTCCATGGCATGAAGGAATTGCGCATAAACACCCACTTCCAAAAGACATTTTCTTGCTAAAATATGAAACCTAATATATTTGGAGGGTTGCTTCTTCTTTTTTTTTTTCTTTTTTTTTTGGCATATATATGAGAATATTTGTTTGTGGAAATTTTCTATATATTCCTCTCTTTGTAGGAGGTCCTATTTATAATACAACAGAGTCTTAGTACCCAAGTAAATAATAAATTCCTATTTCTATTAACAGTAGGAAATCAGGAATTAAAGTGAATCAAATTTAATTATAATGGGAATCCTTGGTGTGTATAGAAAGAAAGTCAATGATCCACAAGTCATGCCAAGACTTCCCCTCACGTTGCTGCATAGATGTTGCCAATGCCCAACTAGTCCAGTGAATTGTGGAACGCTCTACTGGAAATTGCCTTTGTCAAAATATCCGTCAATTGATCCTCGAACTTTACGAAAGCAAACTAAATCACTTTAGCTTCGAGCTTCTGTTTGATATAGTGTCGATCTACCTCAACATGTTTGGTGCGATCATGTTAAACTGGATTTTGTGTAATAGCTATTGCAGCCTTGTTGTCGCAAAAGAAATTCATTACAGATGTAGGTCTATACTCGAGTTCAGTAAGCAACCTCTTTAACCAAATGAGTTTGCAAATTCCTTTGGTCATATATACCTCTAAACTCGGCTTCTACACTAGATAAGGCGACCACCTTATGTTTCTTACTCCTCCATGTAACCAAATTACCTCCCACGAATGTGAAGTAACCGTATGTGGATTTCCTATCTGTTATACTTCCTACCCAATCTGCATCTGTGTAAGCATCAATATTCATATAACCATGTTTTAAGAACATAAGTCCTTTTCTGGGTGCAGACTTCAAATATCTAAGCATCCAAAGAACTGCATTCATGTGGTCTTCACTCGGAGAATGCATAATTTGATTGACGATGCTCACTGCATAAGCAATGTTTGGCCAAGTATGGGACAAGTAGATCAATCTTCCCACTAACCTTTGATATCTTTCTTTGTTAGTTGGAACTTGATCCGGGTATTCTCCAAGATGATGATTATGAACAATAAGAGTGTCTACAGGTTTGCATTCTAGCAATCCTGTGTCTGTCAACAAGTCCAAGACATATTTCCTTTGAGAAAGAAATATGCCTTGTTGTGATCGGGCCACCTCAATCCCCAAGAAATATGTGAGTCCACCTAGATTCTTCATCTCAAATTCAGTAGCCAAATAGTCTTGTAGCTGATATATTTCTTGTTTATCATTCCCAGTAATAATCATGTAGTCAACATAGATTATTAAAGTTGTTACCTTCCTTTCTGATATTTCCAGAACAGAATATGTTATAAGTTACTATGTTTGAAACCATTGTTCTTCATTTTCATGGTGAACCGCCCAAACCATGCACGTGGTGACTGTTTCAGTCCATACAACGCCTTTCATAATTTGCATACTGTTCCAGTCTGAGTAGTATTATATCCAGGAGGAATGTCCATATACACCTTCTCTCTGAGTTTTCCATGTAGGAAAACATTCTTTACATCAAACTGGTGTATTGGCCAGTCAAAATTAGCTGCGAGGGACAATAATAAAACTCTGACTATGTTCCATTTTGCAACTGGTGCAAAGGTTTCTTCATAATCTACACCATAAGTCTGTCTGTACCCTTTCGCCACAAGTGTTGCCTTGTATCGCTCGATAGATCCATCAACGTTGTGTTTTATGGTAAACACTCATCTACATCCGATAGTCTTTTTTCCCTGTGGTAAAGTTTCCAATGCACAAGAGCCTTGAGTGGTTTAGACAGCTTCTCAGTCGATACATGATTCGCGATACTTTGATGTCTTGCCAATATCTGGTGAATAACGGTTTGGTGGCTTCCCACGATTCTGTCTAAAAGGTAATTGATATCCAATAGATTTATCCTCTAAATTCACAAGTGTAGTAGAAATAGTTACCTTAAGAATATTCTCAGGGGATTGGTTTGTTTGTACTATGGAGTTAGAGGGAGTTCTTCATTTCGTTGTTTTGTATTATCTATAGGTATGGGACTTGGATTAGAAACATATTTGTAAGGGTCAAGTGGATCAGGCGATTGATCGCTTTACGACAGAGAGCAATCTCGTGCTCCAAACTTGGGTTCATTTTTGTACAGAGGCGAATTTCTTCGTTTTCCAAGTTGCTCCAATTATGCTCTTCACTTTGTATCTCCCCCTGAAGTGCAGAATTGGATGATGTGTCATGGAAGAACATCTCAGATTCCAAAAAGGTCACATCCAAAGTGACATAGGTACGTATGTTAGGAGGGTGATAACAACGGTAGCCTTTCTGATGAGTGGCATAACCCACAAAAACACAACGAAGCACACAAGGATCAAGTTTGCTACGTTGATTTTTGTGGATATAAACGAAGGCCACACATCCAAAGATTCAGGGTATGAGTACCAAAACAGAGGGCAGGGATCCTTTTTGCGCACGCACTTGTAAGGGAGTTTTAAAGGTCAATACACTAGAAGGCATGTTGTTGATCAGGTGAACTGCGATGACAATATCATCATCCCAGTGATGGGAAGGAACATGAGCACCAATCAGAAGTGCTTGGGTGGTTTCAAGAAGATGTCGATTTTTTCGTTTAGCAACACTATTTTGTCGTGGTGTCTAAGGACAAGTCGTCTCATGGATAATTCCATGTTATTGGAAGTAAGCCTGAACGTCATGATTGACAAATTCTCTTAGTACCACAACCAAGAATCTCCTTAGTATGAATATCTTGTAGCAAACAAAAACTCGGGTAAATGAGTACACAGCAATTCAATTGTTTAGTAAGCTAAATATGGAACAAGTAAAGTATTAGACAATAAGAGAGAAGATGAGAGTGCAACAGTGCCTGCCCCTGTCACAAGATAAGTAACTGCATTGGCGTAGCAACACAAGTTCGTCAGGGTTGGGTAGTATTCAGAAAATTATCAGGATCAAACGTCATATGATCAGTTGCACTGGAATCAATTATCCAACTCGTGGAATCACTCTTATCCAAAGTATGGAATCCATAACCAGTACCATTACTGGCCGTATCGCGTTGTATTCGATCTTTGAGAGTAGCCCACAATTCGGGTTAGCCATGCGATTTAAAACAAGTCTCACGAGTGTGTCTTGGATCACCACAGTATGCGCAATCTCATCCATGTGTCGGGGTCGTTAGTTGGGAAGTCATAATCTGTGCAGCGGAAGATACATAAGATACAGGTTTAGTAGGAATTCGAATCAGGAGAGAGTAACCCACAATTCGGGTTAGCCATGCGATTTAAAACAAGTCTCACGAGTGTGTCTTGGATCACCACAGTATGCGCAATCTCGTCCATGTGTCGGGGTCGTTAATCGGGAAGTCATAATCTGTGCAGCGGAAGATACATAAGATACATGTTTAGTAGGAATTCGAATCAGGATCTGAGCCTAAGTCAGGGTCAAAGTCGGAGTCGGAGTTGAAGTAAGGAGCTGGGTTTGAATTAGAGATAGATTCGGGGTCTAGGTCGTCATCAGAGTCGAGATCATCGTCGTCATAATCGGGGTCGAGGTCGTCAAAATAGGATCCTCATTCAAGATCGGGTTCGGGGTCATCAAAATAGGATTCTAATTCAGGATCGAGTTTGGGGTTGAAGTCTGCATCTGTAGGAGCTGAGCCACCTGGACACTCAACTCGACTATGGTTGGTTGAGAATGAGAGGAGTTTGTGATGCTACTTCCATGAGGGTTGAAAAAATCATCCACCCCCATAGCGACGACGGGAGTTTGAAACTAAAGTCAGCAATTTCAAAATCGCCGCTCTGATACCATGCTAAAATATGAAACCTAATAAGAGAATATTTGTTTGTGGGAATTTTTTGTATATTTCTCTCAATGTAGGAGGTAGTGGCCAAATAAATAATAAATTCTTATTTCTATTTATAATAGGAAATCAGGAATTAAAGTAAATCAAATATAATTATAATGGAAATCCTTGGTGTGTAAAGAAAGAAAGTCAATGGTCCACAAGTCACGCCAATATTTCTCTCAAAACTACTTTATGAAATTAGAAGCTAATGGGCCAGTCAGTTCAGCCAAGAGGTGTCTTGTCAGTTAGGTGAGCTGTTAAGATCTCTAGCTTTCCTAGAGTAAATCCATTATGATATTCTAAGGGAGAAGTCAATTCTAGAATGACATGTCTAAATTCAAAAAAGTTGGGGATCTTTGAAATAAAAAACTCTAAATTTAGCAATGAGGGGAAATAATTTTAATCCATATTCCATATATCCAGTTTGCCTGCTCTTTGAAGGTACTTAATCCAATATCCTTTTTATGCTGGTAGAGAGCATTTACTCTCACGTACGTCCAAAGGTCAAGTTTGAAACTGTAAGACAACTACTAGTTGGGATTTGGAATCGAACTCAAGAGTCAAGAACACTTGTAAAGAAGGTTCTGATATCATATTAACAACCACTAGATCCAAAAGCTTAAGCTGTCAGAAAATAGACCAATAATGTATATCAAATTTACCGAATTCTCCCGCTAAACCTCTCGTATAACAACAACAACAACAACAAAAAAGCCAATACACAAAAGGAAGACAAGCTTATATTAATTTATCCATCCAACAGTTTTTTGACGACTGTGGTCTAATATCTGAAAGCTGAAGACTCTTAAATGGGAACATTTTAGAACTGAGTACGTAATAAGGGAGTAGAATATATCCCATTTTGCCATATGCTGTAGCTCTCCGTACAGTTAGGTTGGGCAAGGTTGCTCTGGAGCCAAGGGAAACCAATCATTACAAACATATATGGCAACACCAATAGCAAGTTTTCTACACAGATAATATTTTGAAGTGACAACATCTTCATATCCAATGGAAGTTGAAAATGCAACTTCACATCACGCTCCATCCATATCCCATACTTATTGGGAGAAACTATTTGTGCCCAGACGAATGGTTGCGAGTCTTGCCACATATGAATGGTGTATATGGCATATTGACAAACTATATCTTCCACCAAAAACGATAGGTGGAAAATAATGGAAACAACAGCCTTAGGATAAAGGGTGCAATATCCACATGCATTATGGCTTACTTCTATGTGTCATATATATGTATATATATGTTGGGATTTGCGGCTCAAAATATTGTGAGAATTAATGGATTTTAATTAGTTTTGAGACCGACGGGAAGAGTTTTAGGTCGAAAACGGATCAAAATTAGGTGAAAATGGCGAAGGTCGTTGGAGCTCCATGGTTGGTGCTTCTGAAGAGCGCCACAACAGTTCTTCGGATTTTGACAAAAAAGTAAAAAATGCATTTTGAAGGAGTGTCGGTCCTAATTCCAAAACCATATAGGACCTTAGGACTGAAAATTAAATTTATTTAAAACTCAAATAGAAGGTCTAATCCAAGTCTAAAAGACATTGTAAGAGTTCATCAATGCTTTGCAGGGAATATGCTGGTTATGATTCATTGGTGGTTGAATCAGATGGCCATGGGGAATTATCAACAACATCCACATATGTTATCTAGAGATTTTTCATCTCTTTCCTTTTGTTTTTGTTCCTAGATTGTGTAATATAATGTCGCTGATAGACTTGCTAAGTTTGCTTTAGGTAGGGTCTCTACAAACGTTTGGCTTGACGAGGGTCCTCTCTATATACCTCAATGTGTTTCTTCAAGTTGACGTTGATAACCTTTTTTTCATCATGAGTTTTTGTTTGTAGCCTTTATGGAGCGTGTACTCTTTTCTTTCGCCTTAAGTTTTGTCCCACTGGGTTCCTAGGCAAGATTTTAATGAGCCACGTTTGTTCACTCGAGTCTGTAACCTTGGACAGTTTAATGAAATTTTCTACTTCCTCAAAAAAAAAAAAATGGATGGATGGTGTTGCTTTTTAATTAGGGAGCTTTAGTAATATACCCAAAATAAGGGCTGAAATTATAAAAAAACCCTACATGGAATGCACTTTAGAAACACACCCAAAAACTATTTACTACATAAGAAATGAGTGTTGAAGTTCCTATAAATTACATCTCTACCATTGATTAACTTAAAACAAGCCCAACACAAAAAAAAAAAAAAAAACCCAAACTTTAAATAAATAAATAAAAAATCACGAAAATCAAGGAGCTGTCCTTACGACCCTTCTCCATCGAACCTCCGTACACTGTTAATACCATGTCATAGAAGTACATTGTTAATACCATTTCATAGAAGTACATTGTTAATACCATGTTATAGAAGTACACTGTTAATACCATGTCATAGAAGTACATTGTTAATACCATTTCATAGAAGTACATTGTTAATACCATGTTATAGAAGTACACTGTTAATACCATGTCATAGAAGTACATTGTTAATACCATTTCATAGAAGTACATTGTTAATACCATGTTATAGAAGTACACTGTTAATACCATGTCATAGAAGTACATTGTTAATACCATTTCATAGAAGTACATTGTTAATACCATGTTATAGAAGTACACTGTTAATACCATGTCATAGAAGTACATTGTTAATACCATTTCATAGAAGTACATTGTTAATACCATGTTATAGAAGTACACTGTTAATACCATGTCATAGAAGTACATTGTTAATACCATTTCATAGAAGTACATTGTTAATACCATGTTATAGAAGTACACTGTTAATACCATGTCATAGAAGTACATTGTTAATACAATTTCATAGAAGTACATTATTAATACCATTTCATACAAAAAATTTAAAAAAAACCCTAGCAAGACATCCAATATCTTTTGCAGAAACCACCTCCAATTGTCCATAGTTTCACCACATACAATCACAAAGGCAAAAGGAAATACCTCTACAAGAAAGAAAAAAAGTACACTGTTAATACTATGTCATAGAAGTACACTGTTAATACTATGTCATAGAAGATGTCGTGAGTGCTAAATTCTCCACAAGCTCTGATTACCACCCAATAAAACAACATCCAAACTTACACAACTACGTAGTGCTTACATTATCAATGATAGACTCAAGAAGATCATTTGACAATTGCAAGTCAGATTCCATCATTATGGCAATCACCATTTGCTTAACCTGAAACCAAATAGAGGCCGTTTAATTTAAATATTGTGTCCGTGTTCATACAAGGTATCAAATGTAAAAATACCCATAAAAACATAAATTTCCTAGGAGACTTAGACAGTAAATTTCCACAGAGGTTGCAAGTGAGCAGTGCAGAAACAGTTGTATCATCCTCTTCAGCAACATTCTCACTTGCTATCCCACAAAATTTGCATGTACAATTTGGACAGTGCCAATCACCTGGAGGAAGCATCTGCAATGAGAACAGATATATCAATACCTAACCAAGAGTGAACAAGGTAAATCAATTCCTCAAGTTCCCAAAACCACTAAGAACAATTCATAGTTTAGATTTATTAACAAACTGAATCAAACTTGTTTCTCCAAGTTTGCCGGCAAAAGACATCTGAATAAACAAGATTTGTATTAAGCTCCTCTCAAGTGTCAAAACTTGCAAGCACATTCAACAACATTTCCCAGATCACAGAAACACACCAAATTCCATGACTCACAATCCAAAAATTCCTCTAAGATCTCGACATCACAGATAAATTTGCAATCCCTCTCTATCAAAAGTAAACCTCAACTTCACAGAACTAAATAGGTAGAGGGAACAAAAACCCTCAATGAACCAAAATATATCCCAAGGGAAACAAATTACACCCAATGCACCGTTGAAAATATAAATAGCATCAATTTGGCAACCATATCCTGTGATCTGCAGAAAAATAACATAAACATACCTGTATATTCAAGCAGCTCTGATGAAATGTTGATGGACAGCTATCACAACAGATCAAATCCCCACCATCTCCACAGAGGCCACAAGTATCATCATCAAGATCATCACCGTCAACTTGCACAGAGTGGAACCCGATGCGTTCAATATCCTCTTGTCTATTCCATGCATCTATCTGACATTGCAATTACCACCGACGTCGACATTCTAAACACCTTCATCTGGCAATTGACACTTCAAATCTACAGACTAGCCACATGAAACTGAAATCGAGTTGAAATTCAAGTAAATTAAGCAAAAATCAAAAGGAAAATAACAAATTGAAGCAGATGGAACAAACCTGCAAAGGAAATGGAGGCATCGGCGGCAAGAACACGTGTGAGGTCATCGACGTAACAGAAATTGTCGTCGGTGTGATGAGGGAGGATTTTTCTACCATAGCTATAGAATAGTTTTATGGCTTTGAGACTGTTTGGTTTACTTTGAAGGGAGAGAACAGAGGAGAGATGGTGGTTTGAAGCAGGAAAGGGGCTTGAGGCTTCAAACGAGATCCAAAACTAATTTAATGCAAAAAAGGGTAATAAAGATATTTCATCTTATTAATTAAATTAAAAAATATACAATTGTTGATTTTTGGGTTTATTTTGGGTATGTTTATATATAATGAATGGTATAGGGTATATTTATAGTTTAATGTCTAGGAATGGGTATTTCACTAAATTTCTATTTTAATTACTGTTTTATACTAGTGACCTGACAAATTGTAATTAGGGGTGCTTCACTTTCAATTATCTATCCAAAGAACTTTAAGATTCATCTGAGCTCGCTACGCGTAATGTGCTAGGTTTTTTTGTTTCCTTCTGTCAAAACTTGAGGGGCTTCTAACCTGCCAAACTATAGGCAAGTATTTAATTTAGTGATCAATTGGATATCTTTGAAAAATCGGAAACTTTTTCATATAGAACAAACTAAGAAACGTAGTGGGAATGTCAGCTAAGTATAAACAATTACCACCTTCGCATTTTCAAGATACCTGATATGTTGATGTCAAAAAAGTATGGATTCCACCAAGTTTGTTCTCTGGTCTACCCCCCACTAAATTTGGATACGTGTGGACCTGTAATAGATTTTTGGTAAAATAAAAATTCTCTCGACCATCCATTCAATTTACTTACTAATTTAGTTCAAATCTCCCGTTAATTTAAAAATGAAAACCATGGAGTTCACTTTTTGAGGGATTTATAAGGCCCTTCAGTTAGGATGGACATACACTTTAGAATCGAAAACCTTGTCCTTCTGGTGCCTATCTTTTGATAATTGTATTCCCTGAACACTACTTCACTCAACAATGGCCTCTTCAGCCACTAACCATGGTGAAAAGGTTAATTGGGTGCTCCATGCGCCCCAGCCGCCGGGGCCATGGCGCGAATTTATGGAGTTTTCAGGTGATCAAGAAACTAGTCCCAAGGATATCCTTCCAAGTTCCCCCAAACACTTCAAACAACCAAGCACTGCCTCGTTAGCTGTTGAGACCCCAACAGCAGAGGAAAAGCTTGACCTCGAGAAAAACAGCAGCCCTATTCAAAGGTCTGAATGGGTGCTGAATGGCCCTGAACCCCCAGGTCTATGGCATGAGCTCATGGACTCTGTGAGGGAGACGGCGTCGTACTGTGGAAACAAGTACTCATCTCTCAAGAATCAGCCAGCACTCAAAAGTGTAGTCTCTATCCAGCAGGAGATATTTCCTATCCTTGTATGGGGTAGGAGCTACAACATTTCAAAATTCAGGCATGATTTAATTGCTGGTCTAACTATAGCAAGCCTCTGCATTCCCCAGGTAAAATTAAAATTCAGTATTAGTATAATACAACTCATATAGCATGTTGCCTTAATATGAATTTGAATGCAGAGTATTGGATATGCAACTTTAGCAAAGCTTGATCCCCAATATGGTCTTTGTAAGTCTTGTAGCTTAAATTATAAGTTTATTTTTTTCCAAGTGTTTGTATGTAGACTTAATTATGTGTTGTGCTGTTGGTCTTAGATACAAGTGTTGTACCGCCTCTTATTTATGCTGTAATGGGGACTTCAAGAGAGATAGCAATTGGACCTGTAGCTGTGGTGTCTCTCCTTTTGCCCTCAATGATTCAGAAGTTACAAGACCCCGGGGCTGATCCAATTGCTTACACCAAGCTCGTTCTCACCGCGACGTTCTTCACCGGTATCTTTCAAGCTTCCTTCGGACTCTTCAGGTATCATTTGGACTGTGCTGGATTGGACTATACTAAACTGTATTATACTGTCTCGACCAAAAAAAAAAAAACTGTATTATACTGAGCGGAGTTTTAGAGCTCTTGAGCATGTGACTTAAGCATATGTGCGTAGCTGTCGTAATATATATATTTTTTTGCTAGTATACTTCTTAATCTTAAAATTACCTTCTTGTTTTGGTTTTCACCAGATTGGGGTTTCTTGTGGATTTTCTTTCCCATGCCGCAGTCGTAGGGTTCGTGGCCGGAGCAGCCATCATCATTGGTCTTCAACAAATGAAAGGGCTACTTGGGATCACTCACTTCCCAACCAATACTGATGTTATCTCTGTTATGAAAGCTGTTTGGACATCTTTCCACCATCCTGTATAAGTCACTTTACTTGTCTTTAAGAAAATACAAATAAAAATATGATTCCTTATTAGAATATATATAGAATTCATTTAATCATTCATATCCTTGTCTTTCTTTGCAGTGGAGCCCTCATAATTTTATTCTTGGCTGCTCTTTCCTGTGTTTCATCTTAATATCTAGATATCTGGTGAGTAATTAACACTGCAACCCTGTTAGTAACATTTTACGGTTGCTCTAATTGGTCATTATTTATTCATTCATTCATTTTATACTCACCAAAGTTCTACTCTGCACGTTCTGATCCCGACAGGGTAAAAAGAACAAGAAACTTTTCTGGTTGCCAGCCGTTGCTCCTCTCCTATCCGTTATACTATCGACGCTTATTGTTTATCTAACAAGGGGAGATAACCATGGAATTAAGATCGTTAAACATATCAAAGATGGCTTAAACCCTAGCTCAGTTAATCTCTTAGAGCTCAACGGCCCCTATGTTGGGGATGTAGCCAAAGTCGGGCTCATTGTCGCTCTCGTTGCACTCGCGGTTGGTTATCACTCAAGCACAATCTTAAATTAAAACTAAGAAATTAATGGATGGTTTCCTTTTGATTAATTCACTCCTTGGTATTGAATGATGTTATTGTATATATTTTGGCAAACTTCAGGAAGCAATTGCAGTTGGAAGATCTTTTTCATCCATAAAAGGGTACCACATGGATGGGAACAAGGAAATGATGGCGATGGGCTTCATGAACATAGTAGGATCCTTTACTTCTTGCTATGTTGCAACCGGTAAGTAATTTTAATAGAAGAGTACTGCTATTTGTATCGTGTCAATGTTTCGTGTGTTGTACCGTCTCTTTAATATAGGTGTGTCTCACATGGTCAGTAAAATGGAGTTACGCTAGCTCACGATAACTTGGACTACTAATTTTGACAGCTGATAGGATATAATAGAAGAGATATTTAGTCATATACGCATTCTTGGCGCTAATATAATTATGTGGATAAACCCTACACCATTTAATTTCTATAAAGAAATCCAAAAAAATACCCAAAAAATGACAGCCAGCCTATTGAATTCAAATTTGATTATTAAATTACTTTGATGCCCTATTGAGTGTTTTTTATTTTTTATAAGGTTTTGGGGTTGGTCTTGTTTTAAGATATCGATGGCAATTTTGTAA